TTACGTTGACAAATGATACGTGTATATATATATATTTACCATTTTGAAAATAATATTTAATTATTATTTAATGTCAATTTGATTAAAACTATTTGTAACTGGATTCTTAGTTTACAAAATAATCTATTAAATCTATTTATATGAAAAAGTTACGACATGGCGAATTGCGACATTCTGATTGGAATTATCCAAGCTCTTAATCCACTTTGCCAACATGCTACGAGAGGTTCTGCGCACATTTTAACATTCCTAATTTATCTCATGAAAGTGTAAATATATATATGCAGTTGCAACAGAACTCGTTTGTCGAAGATAATTTTGTAAAAATATTTTCCCATATATTTTTTACGCAATAAATTTATTTTACGCAAAAAATAATATTTTTATAAGTTAATATATTTTATTTTAATAACAATTAAAATAATTTATATTATGTTATATAAATTTACATCAAAATATATAATTATAATTTAAAAATAAATTTTTAGTTAACTAATTGAAATGTTTATATTTAATAGTCAGTATGTAATAATTGCCACTATTATAGTATAAGCAGTATAATTCAGGTCATAGATTATAATTCGAAAATATTTCAAAAAAAAAGTCATGAAAAAAGTCGTGCAAACTATACCATGTTTCTCGCGATTGCTAAGCCACGCAAAATTTTTGCGACCGAAGAAATAATCTCGGGTCGATGGGCTATCGGATCGTGACGTCTTTTTTTTTTACCATGCAACTTCGATAGTAAAAAAATCTCTCAGTGCTGTCCGAAACGCTCACCGAGAGTGATCTTCGTCAAAAGTTTTTCTTGTTGTCACCGAAAAACGATTGGTAATTGATCAGTTCTTCTACTAATTGATTTCTTAAATTTGATTTAGTCTTGCCTTAGGAAACCAATCGTTCATTTTTCTCTACACTTACATTGATCGCCGCTAATATTTTATATTTATCTTTTTCAGGTGATACAATCTTCAAGTGTATTCCCTGAGGGAAAAAAGAATTTTACGCGAAGATAAGAAAGCAAGATTGTTCTTTGATCACACAGGCAGAGCAAACATTCTCTGAACATCGTGCCAAATGTCGCAGATGTCGGAGATCATGGAGAAGAACGATAGCCTAAAGAGGAAACCAACTCTCGTTAGACGAGTGTCCGACATGTTCAAGGGTAAGTTCAACAGAATCATTTCATTTTTATTAACTTTTTCTCAGTTCTGATCCTTTCTTTCACGTATATGGAAATACTTGTGAATCGAATAATTAATCGAATAATTAATTATAAAAAGGCCTGAGTGTTTTTCAAGTGAAAGATATGTTTGATCAAGTAATATCTCGGTGAACCTTCTCTTATCGCAAATATTACATGTGTAGTTGGAATATCATGTAATAAAAATATTTTCGTCCGGTGGATGATAGTAATTACGTAATATCGTTCGTGCTGATTAAATGTCCTCTTCTCCCTCAACGATAGATGGAACCTACAGTGGGCCCCCGAGGCTGTTTCGACACGCGTCGATGCAGAAGATCCGCCATTGCTGTCAGAATCTCAACCTGCTGCCATATCTTCTCTACTCCTTCGACAATTCCAAGTCGCATCCGCTGGCGCGCAAAATGCACGTCTACTTCAGCCGTTTTCTTCAAGAGATCACCATCAGTCTTCTGGTCACGTACGAGAATCTGCGTCAATCTGCGCTACATGGAATCCGCGTCGAGAAATCGATCGACGCGCAAGAAGCGCCGGCAGAAACGAGCGCCGACGATTTCGCCAAGCCCGTCGCATTTAGAAGGTTCACAAAACCGAAACGCAAACCGCATTCACGCTGTCTGACCGCGGCCGTGTATCTCGTGCCACTGGTGCTCGTCTTCCAAATGGCAACCCTATGTAGCCTGACGATCTTCGGCAAGTATACTCCGGGCTTCATCTTCCTGATCACCTCGATGCTCTTCCTCGGTGGCATCGCGCTGAAAATACTGTTACACGAAACCTGCACGACGCTGTACGGCGTCGCGAAGTGCGAGAGGAAAAAGGTGCAGTGATCTTCCGTCTCGTCCATTCCACCGTCGCTTTATCGTCCAAAGACAATAAATGAACAGAGAAAACTCCGCGCTTCGTTATAGTCTTCTCAGCGCGACAGTCGTGTTACGTGGTATGAAATATTACCTTCTGCGCGCGAGCGACATGACATCAACATATGTTAACGCGTTGGCAAAGTCTCGAAAACTTCTTCCATTTATCTTGATGTAGCTCTAACGATAAGTTCCTTTCCCTTTTCATATAACGTTTCCGATCATCATTTTTATATGTGTACTCTTTATTTTTTTGTACGTTGTTGAAATCATTAAACAGGGATCGTAGATTTGTAGAATATACTGCAAAGAAGACATTCTTTTTTTAATAAGTTAAGTGTTCTAAGCGGTAGCATAACCTTGATTGTTCTCAAGCGTAATCTCGGAGGACCACTTGCGCCCTTCGATTCTACGAGACGAGCATCGCGAGTATCTTTGTCCTCTGCAGCATAAGACTGAGAATTGTTTTAACGTACATGTTTGTAAATAAACATGCGAATGAGATTATATGTATATGTATAATGAAAGGTATAGATTTGTAAAATTGTATCCTGTTGCGACAAGGAGAAACGGAAGATAGGAACTCGGTACGTCCATTGAAAAGTTAATCTGATCTGTGATGGTGTGGGTACAAGTGATACCTCGCGGCCACTTGCAATACCACTTAATTACGCGCGATAATTGTTATTATGCGTAGAAATCTGAATTCTAAAAATACATACGCCTTTAGCGATCAATATTGTTTTTCTACCAAAAATAAAAGAAACTGACAATACGTTTACTGATCTTGCAGATTTATTTATGAGATTATTTATGAAATTAGAGCCAACAAGATTAGATTACTATATAAAACAACAATCGCGTTCCAAGGGGACAATATTCCCACGCCGTTGGAATACTCGCCGATTTTCGCGGCATATGCGACGACGTGGGCCACGTAGTTCTGCTCGTGCACGCTGTGAAAGAGATGCGCGTACGGTCCTACAATGAGAGATATTCAAGATATTCAAGTGAACTCACTGTTTGCGGCGATTTTTTTTCCTAAAGTTTCTAAAACGGTTCGAAAAGACACAACACTTTCCGAACTCGAAGTCGTCTAATCGCACAATCTTCGTATTTGTAATATCTAATTAGATAGATTAGTAGCGTACCTATAGCGTACACAGCTACGTCTCCGCCACCGTGAGTAGCCTCATCCGATATGATAGTAGCCTGCTGGCTGTAAGTGAAATCGCTGGTATTTAATTTGGAGGGATCGATTCTCACAGTTTGACCGTTGTCGTTCACGGTGTAGGCCATGTTGTTCGGGCCGCCCGTGCTGTAGGATAACGTCGTGTAGGGTGTACCGTCGTATTTAGATTTCTGAGCAATTCCTGAAAACGTTCTCACGTAAGGGTAAACTCGCGAGAATCCTACACGCCTTTCATCTTACCCAAGATGGATGAACCTCGAGCGTTGTATCCGTTGAAACTCATTGAGTGCGTGTGATCGCTGGTGACTACGACGAGAGTGTCGTCCGTGTTGATCATTCTAAGGGTGGCATTAACTGCATCCGAAAATCGGACGGTTTCCAACAGCGCTTGAGCCGCGTGACCGCGATGATGAGCAAAGTCGATCATGCCTCCTTCAACCTGAAAGAGCACTTGTACCGTTATTAATTTGGCTTTCTCGCAAAATTATAATATAATAATAATAATTATTATTATTGTAAAATCATATAATATAATTATATTATAATCGTACCATTAGGAAATATCCCTGCTTGGACTTTTGCAATATCCGTAAAGCTGTAACAGTCATTTCTTCCAGGCTCGGTTGTCCTTTTGGACCTCGCTGTCGTTTCCAGTCCATTTCGAGGTGACCATTGGCAAAAATACCCAGCAGATAATCTACATTTTTGACATCGACCTTAGACAATTCTTCATTGTTTTGCACCACTTTATAAGCTAACTTCCTTTTGGCTTTGTCCTTTGTCCAGTCGTTAATGAGATCGCGACCGTCCTGTCTATAACAGGCCCAATTATCAATCGGATCAAATTCGCTCGCGCTCACATTGGATTTCATCACCTGCCTGCCACCACCCATAATTACCTAAAAAGATAAACGCGTTATTTATTTCCTAATTAGAAAAGATAAGCATAATTCACTTTTTATTTACTCGAATATTTCTCCCAGGCTCATTTTCTACTAACTGTCTTGCGATATCTTTGCAAGCAGAAGCGTTTTTAGGCATTTTGAATTCGCATTCCCACCTGCGATTCGCGCAGTGTGCGTAAAGCGGCGCCGGAGTCGCATGAGTAACTCTGCTAGTTGTCACGAAGCCTGCATGTCAATTAATTTTAATTTCATATTTTATATTCTATATTTAAAAAAATATACTTTTCCAACTTTATATTATACATAAGATATAAATTTTTGCTTTTACCTTTGCCAAAACTTAAGAAAAAAAAATTATTAATTAATATATAGTAATTTTTAATATATATACGTGTGCATTTTTAGATAAATTTAGATTTAGAAGAAAATTAATATTGAAAAAAACAATGATGGTAAAACAAAGATAAATTTTAAATAATAATTATGTCTGTTATATTGGCGCAAGCAATTATTCAAACTTTCTGAAATTAAATTGTCATCGAATCCAACCTGTAGCTTTACCGGCCGCTTGAGCCCATGCTACGAATGAGTCCACGTGATAACTCATATTTAGGCTTGCCTTGCAATCCCCCAATTGCACGTTCACGTCCAGGCCTACAACTTCGTAATTTGTTTTAACTCCTCCGAAAAGAGCGGTGGCGGTGGAAGCCGAGTCAGGGACTTGTTTGTTCGTATTATACGTCTGCATTATCAGCAAAAGATACATTCATTAAAGATATCTTATATATAAAACATGATAATTAAGATACGAGTCACGTCTAATAAATATCCCATCGAGACCTTCAATATCCCGATATGGGGAAAATGTTCCCAGGCGAGTCGACTGGCCTCACCACCATGATAAATTCTGCTAGCCGTTATGGTATCCGGGCTCATTCCATCCCCCACAAAGAGAATCACATTTTTCGCCTTTTTTAAGTTCCAGTGATAAGAAAGAGATTCTTCCAGTTCTTTGTTCGCCAACCGATGCCAGTAACGACTGTCTGTGAAGAAGCGACATTCAATCGTCTTTTTTTTATTTGATGACAGTTCTATTTACTCGTGCAGATTAAAAATAAATGTTAATCTATTAGAAAACAAGACTTTTACAAGTGAAGAAAAAAAATTGACTTCTTAAAAATTTCATTTCGAATAAGAATTCGCGCGATTTTTAATATGCATATTAACGGCCGTTTTAATATCTTCACGTGTCATATGATTTGAATATGATATCAGTCACGTGACCCTGAATACAAATAAATGCCCATCACGAAATTTCATGAACTATGCTGATATCTTATAATCTCTTAGATCATGATATGCGTTGATATTATAATAGAGAAGTTTTCACGTTATGATTTATATTCAAATACCTTCGAACGCGGCCACATTTGAAATCTTGAAGAGACACGCAGCAAAGTGGACAATGAAATATTTCATTTTTTTTTCTACTGCTCGAATTTTATTTGCTTGCTGAAAACTCTAGAGGTACGTTGAAACTAATGAGGATACCGCACTTTGGAACGTCGCGTTCGTAGTCACGTCCTCTGCTGAAGTGCAGTAGAAATTGCGCTCACGGAAAGTGAGTCTCGAATGGTAACGGCAGATATCGTCTTCTCTCAACAACTCTCAGGCGGCTTCATACAACGACAATTCACGTAAGACGAAACGCACACACTACCTTGCGTCGTTCTGGAAGAGGGGGATGAAAATAAAAAAAAAAATAAATAATTCTAGTTGAGCTAACATTCATCGTAACGTTTTATTTGATTTGTTGTTGTTTATATCCATTATCGGTATTCTTACAGGTCGCAACACATCGCGTAATATAATTTTTTTTGATGAGTTTTCGTTTTTTTTTTCTTCTCTCTTCGTCTCCGTTTAAGTCTTTAGTGAACAAAACTACTAAAAATAGACTCGATAAAATCAACCGCTCAAGTCTCTCTCTCTCTC